TGATAAATACTGAAATATTTTTTGATCCTGTCTTTGTTTCTTCGAATCCTTTGGATGTAATTTTTTGGAAGCCTGAACAACGTTCATAGCTAATTAATCAAAAAAATTCATTCTATCATTTTTCTTGAGCCTCTCGGCTTTGGACGTGAACTTCTAGATTACTGGGACCCAGACTTTTTTACACAATATTTAATTTATTAATTCGTTTTTATTAATTCCACTCAATTTAACAGTCACATAGGCGTTCCATTTAGGAGAGGGTTTATTTTTTGGATGCTGAAATTATTCAGCAAATATGTAAAGTTAGAGGTAAGCTCCGTGCAGTAATCAAACATAAAAACTGACTAAAGGGAATTGGTTAGTGTGATACCTGGAGTAATTACTGTCTTATCATGTTTATTCTAATGATCGGACCTTGAAAAATCAATTTTTTTCGGAAAATCAACATTTTTGGCCATAAATTCTGAAATTTTCGTCCAAGAATTTGAAATTTTTTGGGAGACTCCTCTGTCCTTGCTATCATTATGTTGAAAGAGCCGACTTTATGTGAACGTAGCATAATATTAATTAAATTTTTGTTTTGATAAATACTGAAATATTTTTTTGTTTTGATCGTGGCCTTGCATGACATCTTTGTAATTTTTTGGAAGCTTGAACAACGTTCAAGCTAATTAATCAAAAAACCATTCTATCATTTTTCAGGAGCTTCTCGACTTCAGGAGCTCCTCCAGTTTTCAGAAAGCTGAAAAATTCAGCTTCCTGTAACCCAGATTTTTACACTATTTTTACACAATATTTAATTTATTAATTCGTTCCAATCAATTTAGCAGTCAGATAGTGTTTTCAGGTATGATGGAGTTTATTTTTTGGATGCTGAAATTATTCAGCAAATATGTAAAGCTAGAGTTTGGTAGAAGTTCAGCTTCGAATAGGAATCAAGCATGAGAACCTAAGTCAGTCATGCAAACTGTCCGATGTTAACAGGAAGATTTGACTAATAATAAGTTTTATCACGAAGGTAACAATACAATAGAATAAGCGTGACTGCGTTTGAGTTACGGTCGATAGGCCTCGAAAAATTGGTCATTTTGTGGAAAATTAAAACATTTTTGGACATAATTTCTGAAATTCTGGTCCAAAAATTCTGAAATTTTTGGAGAACGTTGATAATAGAGGACTGAAATGCTTGGTTCCTATAGTACGTCCTTTGAACTGAGATTAGCTGAAAATCGTTCAGCATCCAAAAAATAGAAAATGGATCGCAGAAACAGTCAAAAATAAGAAATACTTTAAGAATTTATGAAAACGAGGTATTTAAAATTATATATTGTGTAGAAGAATTTTAAAATTTTAATAAATTTTTGATATTATTATGGTTTAAATTCTTGGAATTTGTCCAAAAATTATTATTAAGGATAGTGCCGATAGGGTGCTTGGAATAATTAAGCGCAACGAAGATAATTTTTCGAGGCCAAAAAGCCAAAAATTGGCAATAAGTTATCGACCATGCTCTACACGATGATGCAAAAATAAATACAAAATTTTCACATAGTTTACTCTAGCTTGTGAAAGTTCACAAGACTTTTATTAGTTGGAATATCCAACTTACAAAAATATAACGGAATTACACCAATTTTTGCGAATGATCAGCATTGTATTAGTCTAAGTCTTAACAAATTAAAATTGAATTATTATATATTTTGTAGAATCCCTCATTTATTTTAAATTCATTTTGTTAATTATTATTTAGGGCACGGATTTGTATTGAAATATATTTTTCGAAATATATTTTGTCATAATAAGCCCAAATATGAATCAATTAACTAAGATCTAAACAGAACCTGAGGATGAGTCCCAATCAGGGATGGGCAAAAAAATGAAACGAAGGGGGAACTGAAAGAAGAGATGAGAGCTATCAGGCCAGCACTACTCTTGATCACTCTAAATCTCCTGATATCCTTCCAAAATCAACTTAGTACCAATAAACGAAAATCACTCAAAACGCCGTGACGCTCAGCCCAGCTACTTTCTATTTAAATAAATTAGCCTGGGCGTTGCCTGGCTTACAAAAATAAACAGTTATTGGTTATTCTGGTACATGCATGGTAAATTTGAATTAAATTAACTCTTATCTCAAAATTAATAAATTATTTAATACTTTGTAATTTAAAGTAGAGGTGTGACATTTTCAATTTGCCGGGCCCGATATCCGGGTTTTTTCATCCAATCCGACCCGGGCTGGGTTTTCCAGGCTAACAACCCCGAAAAATCTGATTTTATCAAAATACCCGGTTTCTGGGCTACCGGGCCCGGAAACATGGACACGGGCCCGGCCCTGGTATGGACTTTCTTATCTTGACTCTAAGGTCTGAATTCTTAATAATTTTGGTTTAAAATTAATTTATTTAATTTAAAAAAAATTTTTAATGACGAATTTTCTATATTTATACAAATATTAAATAAATAAATTTAATTTCATAATAAAAATAAAAAATCAAATAAAATTCAATTTACATTAATTTGCTTAATTTAATATAGTAAAACCCATTTTTGTAAGCTTAAAGGCGAGGGAGGCTTATTTACTTAATAATATTTTTATTGTTTATAAATTATATTAAAACTTGTAGAAAGTTTAGAAAATGTTTTGAGGATATTATTATGAAACATTGTTCAGCCAAACATTAAAATATTTAGGAAAGTATGCGAGAAATAAAAAAGACAACCCTTCCGGAAAAACATCAAAACACTGTACTTTAAGTAAACATCAATACGGCCAAGTTTTAATGCCTGGCTTAACATTTACTGCCTTCCGGAAACCTCTAAACACAACAACCAACTTCGTTAAAACATTCCGGAGAAACTTAAAAACATGTTTCTTCGATCACTATTTCTTGAATGTTTTCCGTAAAAACATTACTAATTTCCGGAAAAGCATACAAAAACATCCTTAACACAAGAAACATTCTTCCGGAAAAACATGAGTAAAACATAAATAAAACATACTTAACACCTTCCAAATTTCCGGAAAAACATTACAACATTCCATAAAAACATGTAAACAAAAACATTTTTCAGACAAACATTAAAACTTTCCGAAATTAACTAAGAAATAAACAAGACAAGCTTTCCGGAAAAATAAAATGTTTTCCGGAATGTTTTTAAAACACTGTCATTCAATAAAAACATTGTTCAACTTAGCTTTCCGTAATGTTGTAATTAAAAATCTTTTCCACAACTGAACTGACAATTTTCCACACTGAACTGACAATACACCGGCAATACACCGAAACACCGTCCACATCCCATTAAAAACTTTGTGAAAACATTCCGGAATGTTCGTAAAACTTATACATTTTTATTACTACCCCCACGTTTTCCCACCCCACTAGAGTATTTAATAAGGTCAATGAGCAAATAAACAATAAACACGGAGTAAAAAACACAACGCTCACGCACTTCCCCTTCCCCTCGCCCACATATCCTGGATTTTAATAATATTATTTTTTTACTTTTTTAAAAAAATCCTCCATTTCATTTCCCGATTCGCTTAAGGCAAAAGTAATAATAATAACTATTATTACCTCAAAAACAAAGCAAAAAACCCTTTCCTTTATTTTAAAATTAAGCCGGATTGCGCCTTCCCGTGCTTACTCACCCCACTGTTTTTGACATACACACCCACAAATATTTTTTAGAAAAATTTTTTTGTTGTATATTATTTACATTTTTTGGTATATAAATAAGATTAAATTTTTCAGTGAGTTAAATTTTTGAGATGTGTTATAGGGACAATACATCGTCCGACTTTACACCGTCCAGATATTAGTGTAAAATTGCCGTCCATTTCGCTTGGATTTAGAGTTCGCTTAGAGTAGCTTTGAAGTCTTCAGACTTCATATCATCGACAAAAATCGAATTTGTTTCCACTTGGTCAAATGTCTTGACAGGTTTTTTACCTCAACTGTCTTGTCGGTTTATTGTCGGACGCTGTTTTGCCCCTCACGCTATGTACTTGAGGTGTATCCTGTATATCCTCTCAATTAATATTTTTAATTATGAGTTCGAATTACAAATAGGATTATTTTAGATTCATTTTTCATCATTTTCATGACATCCTTTTTAGTTCTTTTTAAAATTTTAAAACGAAAATTTAAAAATGTACAAGTACTGTATCTCCAAAGGTTGGAGAGCGTCAGCCAACTTTGATCGACCATAACTTTTTTATTCTTGATCCGACCCGAGCAAATCTTATACCTTTCGAAAGCTCTCGAAAAGCGCTATCTTTTTTCCAATTAGACGGATCAAGTCGGATCAACCATTAAAAAGTTACAGCTTGATAAGTGCAAAAAATCGTCCTTTATCACACTTATCGTGGCGTAGCTTTTTAATGGATGATCAGACTCGATCCAACCTATTGGAAAAAAGATGTCGCTTTTCGAGTGCTTTCGAATGGTATAATATTTATATGGAATGGATTAAGACTAAAAAAGTTATGGTCGATCAAAATTGGTTGGGCCTGGTTGCACACCTCTGGTCATTCCCTTTCGGAGCAGTCCATTTCAGTCCAGGCTCAGTTCATTCCGAGCTATAATCGTGAAGGGATGGACGTACCATTGGATAGAGAATTATAAGATCTACAACATATCAAAAAATCAGAATTTTCGAACGATTGATAAAAAAGTTATGAGCTAAAAACCAACTGTTCAAAAAACGTGATCTTTTGGCACTTTTTCTATCATAACTTTTTTACCAGTTAGTCAAGAATTTTGATTTTAAGGTATATTGTAGCTTATTTAATGCTCTATCCAACGGTGCTAATAACATAAAAAATCATCAACCCCTTGATAAGTTATAGGGCTCGGGACTGAACTGAGGTGTACCCATTTCCTTTATATATTTATGTGCCCGTTTCATCTCTCCATACAAATTTTACAATTTTTTTAAAATTATTACAGTATTTTCAGTTTGCTTACCCCGCCATATAAATTATTTAAAAAATACAAAATATGAAATATTTCATTAAACTCAACTCTTCCCTATTAATCATCTCCATTGTATTAGCAATTAGTGACAAATCCCAACAACATCGGCACAGTTTAAAGCAAAGTTTACACCCAAGTTTACCCCAAAAAACAGGCAAACAACTAGGAGGGAGTGAGTACGAGACAGTAAACAGTGAATCAAGTTTGAATGGGCACCCTTTGCTGTTTGAAATTTTGGAGGAAGCTCCTCAGGAAGCTCAGGAGACTCCTCGAGAAGCCCCTCAAGACGCTCCCCAAAAATCATCACAAGAGGGGAGAAGTGGGGGAAGAATTGTTGGGAATGCTCCAGTCTCTTCGAATAATCAACTTTTTCAAAAATATTTGAGTAGAGGCTTGTTAACGTGTGGAACTAAATATATTGGAATTATTCAACAATTGAATAGACTTATTATGGTAGGTGTTAGTTAATTACGACTCTTAGTCCTGCTCCGAAACATACACTTAAAATTATAGTTGGACTCTCCAACTTACAAAAATAAGAGACGTTGTTGTCGTGGCTGTGACTTAATGTTATTTTATTTAAACTTTATACAAATTTAAATTAAAATAACATTTATTAAGTAGTCTGTCTCAATCCTAAGGCATATTTTGGGCCATATCTTTTTTTGTAGTTAACAGATTTGAATAATTTTTATATCAATCGAAAGCTCTGGATGTGGGGATTATTTTAGCTAGCAGGACTGATTTTATCAGACCATCCTATCAAAAGTTACCTTTGCGTCAAAGTAGCTGTATCGACGGAAAGAACTTTTAGCGCCTTACAGTCTTACATATAAGTAGAGGTCGACGCACGACAGGATCCTGCACAGGATTTTTCAGGATCGTGTCCGAAATCCTGCCTTTATTTCAGTTTTCAGGATTAATCCTGCAGGATCGTCCTGTACGAAAACTCTACATATAAGTACATATTAAGGTTGGCGGGTCCGGATATCCGGATCCGAAAAAGGCCGGATATCCGGAGATTTCAGGTTCGGATATCGGTTCTAATCCGGATATCCGAAGATTTCCAACTATCCGCCAACCCTAGTACATACGCTTAAAATTTTAGTTGAATTCTCCAACTTGCAAAAATAAATGATGTATTCGACGCGACTGCAACTTGATGTTATTTTATTTAAACTTTATACAAATTTAAATTAAAATAACATTTATTAAATAGTCAGATCTCTAATTAAGACCTTAGATTATCCAACTCTCAAAAAATTCACAATATTATTCTCTATACTCTAAGCATTTTCCTTTTTCTCCTTTTTCCGAATTTGATTATTTTAGCTAACAGGATTGATTTGATCAGACCATCCTACCAAAAGTTATAGCCGAATAACTATGAAAAATCACGATTGCACGCAATTAACTAGCTATAACTTTTTGTAAATTGGTCTGATCAACTCAATCCTGCTAGATAGAATATTTCTCTCATCCAGAGCTTTCGATTGATATGCAAATTATTTAAATCGGTTAAGAATAAAAAAAGTTACGGCCCAAAATATGGCTTCGAGACTGGAAAACGGCTATACTGAAACATCCCCTAGTCATTTCTTTAAGAATGAGATATTTTTGGTGTATTGTATTACTCAGTTTTCGACACACAAAAATAGATTCTGTTTTTTCAAGAAGCAAAAAATTTTTTTATTTTTTAGACAGCTCACAAGGAATATACAGAATGTCAACAATTAATGAATTCAAATAATGGAGAGAAATTATCGCCTAAAATTTCGGCTCAGTTGGAAATGATTAATGAACTTTTGAATGATGATTAAAAAATGATATTATATATTATTTTACAATTGTAAAAATTTTTTTTATTTTGAAGATCTCATATTTTTTATTCAGAATTTATATTGCAAATTTTTAGAAAATAAACCTAAATTACAAAAAGAAAGTTGGGGTTGTAAGCTTAGTATATAGAACATAATTTTAAGTTTAAGCTATAAAATCAAGTTTTGTAAAATTAAAATTTTAAATTTTTAAGTAAACTTAAGTTTATAAACTTGATTTTTTAAGATTAAGCTTTATTTGTTAAATAAACTTGATTTACAAAAAATAAATTTGGTTTGTAAGATTAAGCTTATAACTTTTTTGTAAAGTTAAGTTTGTAAGCTTGGTATTACAAAATTAAGCTTATAAACTTTATTTTACAAGATCAAGCTTGATTTGTGAAAATAAGCTTGAATTACAAAAATAAACTTGATTTGTGACCTTAAGTTTATTATAGACTGCATTTTAAAAGCATATAAATAAACTTGAATTGTAAACTTGATAATTAGTGAAATAATCTTAATTTTACAACTCAAGTTTATTTTTCTAATTCAAGTTTAAAGTTTGAATTGTAAACTTAAGTTTGTAAAAATTAAAATTTAAAACTTGTTTTTTAATATTAAGCTTGATTAGGAAAAAACTTAAATTACAAAAATAAACCTGAATTGTAAACTTAGGTTTATAAATTTTGTATTTTATAAACCATCGATATAGATTTGAATTGTAAACTTGATAATTAGTGAAATTAACCTTAATTTTAATCAGGTTTATTTTTCCAATTCAAGTTTAAACTTGATTTTTAAAGTTTATTTTTGCATTTGAAGTTTAAGCTTGAATTACAAACTTAAGTTTGTAAAATAATATTCTATTTAAAAATAAATTTCTCGATTTTCCTTTATAATGAGACCATTTAAAAATTATTGCAAATCAATATTATATGTATTTAGAGAAATATTAGTAGAAAAATAAAACTAGCGATAAGGTAAAAATCATTCGTCGTTTTGCAAGGTCAAATAATTTTGTTCCTTTACATATGTAAATACAAATGCATTTCAAAAAACTTTAATTTAATAAATAAACTTGATTTGTAAAAAGTTGTAAAATAAAATTATAAAATTAAGTTTACAAAAGTAAGTTTAAGCTTGATTTGGTAAATAAACTTGAATTACAAACTTGAATTATAAATAATTATAATTAAATAAACTTTAAGTTTACAAATTAAGTTTAAGATTGAATCGAAAAAATAAACTTTACAAGTTCAAACTTGAAATGCAAAAATAAACTTTAAAAATCAAGTTCAAACTTGAGATGCAAAAATAAACTTGATTTGTAAAATTAAAGTTTATTTTGCTGAAATTATCAAGTTTACAATTCAAGTTTATTTAGATGTTTTACAAAATACATTGTCTAATGAATTTTAAGATTGCAAAACCAAGTTGTTTTTGTAATTCAAGTTTAAGCCTAATTTTTAGATTAAGTTTAATTAATTAAATAATTCAAGTTTGCAATTAAAGTTTATTTTTATAATTAAAATTTAAACTTTTATTTTTAAGATTAATCTTTGTAATTCAAGTTTAATCTATATTTGTAAACTTTAAGTTTATTAACACTGTATCATATCAATCAATTAATTAAACTTCGAACGCTTAAAAAATAAATGGACCCCGAAACCGCTAAACAATTTATTCCTGAGCCGTCCTTTTTTAATTACAAATCAGAAGATGCTATTGTTTATGCTTTAGGAAGTGAGTTTACAATTTTTTCCAATTTAATAAACACTTATTTCTTAATTTTCCTAGTTGGTGCCACCACAAAAGAAGAATTACACTTCATTTATGAGGGGCATCCAGAATTTCAAGTCTTCCCTACATTTGTGGTAGTTCCCGGCTTTTTAGCCCAAACTAGTAATGCAAGTGACTGGCCTGGCGCTAATTTGGATTTTAGCCGTCTTCTTCATGGAGAACATTATATTGAACTGTTTAATTCAATTCCTGCAGATGGGGGCAAATTAAGAACGGAAACTAGGGTTCTTGATATTTTAGATAAAGGAAAGGCTGCTTTAATTATTAAAGAAGGTAAAATTACAAACTTGAAAATACAAGATAAATATAAGAAGAGTAAAATAAATAAACTTTAAATTAATTTACAAACTTGAAAAATATAAAAATAAACTTGAAAAATGTTTAAAGCTTAAAACACCAAAAATAAACTTGTTAAGATTGTAAATACAAAAATATAAATAAAACTTGAAAATACAATATTCACAAACTTGAAATACAAAAATATGCTTGTCAAGTTTGAAAATACAAAAAATATAATTAAATAAACTTGGATTTGCTTTGCAGATTTAAAAATGGAAAAATAAACTTGAAATAATTTACAAACTTAAAAATATTAAAAGAAACTTTAAAATACACAAAATACAAAAAATGCATTATTCGCAAACTTGAAAATACAAAAATAAACTTGTCAAGTTCGAAAATACAAGAAAATACAAATATTAACATTATAAACTTAAAAATACATCGGAAACTTAGAAACTTAAAATAAATAAATAAACTTAATTTACAAACTTAAATTAATAAAAAAATTTTCCAGTTACAACTTATGATTGTCAAACTATTGAGAAATTGGCAGTCCAAGAATTTGGTATTTTTCTAACAGGAGCGGGTGGTTTCGGGGTATTTATTTTATATTTTTCTTTAAAGTTAATTAAAGTTTACAAACTTAAGAATATAAAAATAAACTTGACGAACTTAAAATAAGTTTAGAAATAAGTTTAAACTTGAATTACAAAAATAAAGTTGGGGTTGTAAACTTAAGTTTATAAACTTGATATTACATAATTAAGCTTATGAACTTTATTTTGTAAGATTAGGCTTGATTAATAAAATAAACTTGAATTACAAAAATAAACTTGGTTTGTAATCTTAAAATTTATTGACTGCATTTTATGAAGCATCTAAAATAAACTTGAATTGTAAACTTGATAATTAGTGAAATAAACCTTAATTTTACAAAGTTTATTTTTTCAATTTATTAAGTTTGAATTGTAAACTTAAGTTTGTAAAAATTAAAATTTATAAACTTGTTTTTTAATATTAAGCTTGATTAATAAAATTAACTTAAATTACAAAAATAAACCTGAATTGTAAACTTAGGTTTATAAATTTTGCATTTTATAACTTAAATAATAAACTTGATAATCATAAGAAAATAAACTTTAATTCTACAAATCAAGTTTATTTTTCTCAAGTTTGGACCTGATTTGTAAACTTAGCGTTATTTATTAAAATTATTTATAATTCAAGTTTATTTAAACTTAAAATGCTTAGAAATAAAAAAAAACTTTAAAATGTTTACAAACTTAAAATAGAATAATAAGGCTGAATACTTAAAACTTAAAAATAAATTAGCTAATTTAAAAAAACTAAAAAATAATATTCTATTAAAAGGGCAACCGCACATCGCCTTATGAACGTAAATCGCCTCCATTTCTAGAAAGACCACCAGATACAATTTTAGAAGATCGAATACATCCTGATCAGGTTATAAATTTAAAGTTTTTTTAAAATTTAACCCTTAACATTTTTCAGGCAGCCCTTTACCGTATCGGCTCTGGTGATCTAAATCCTTTACATATCGACCCAGACTTTGCCCAAATAGCTGGCTTTTCTACCCCGATACTTCACGGGCTCTGTTCTCTTGGTTTTGCTACTCGCCTTGTTTTGCGTGTTTATGGCAATAAACAAGCCAAGAATTTGCGTTCAGTTCGTTGTCGTTTTTCTTCCCCTGTAATTCCTGGACAGACTTTGATTGTGGAAATGTGGCAGAACCAAAAACAAATTTTGTTTACTGCAAAGGTAGAAATTCGTAAAATTGTAAGGGGCCCGAAAAACGATGAGAACAAAAATCATTATGAACTTACAAATTGTGTTTTGTAATTTTGTAACGCTCAATGTAGTTAGAATAATTCGCGAACTTAAAAATAAATAAACTTGAAAAAACTTGAGTACTCGTTTGAAAACACAAAAAAATACAAATATAAACTTAAGAAAATAAACTTGAATCCAATTTGCAAGCTTAAAAATAATAAATAATCCTGTCTAGCTTGAAAACACAAACAAATACGAATATAAACTTAAGATAATAAACTTAAATTCACAGACTTAAAAATAAATAAACTTGTTGAAAATACGAAAATACAAATAATAAACTTAAAACTTGGATTCGCAAACTTAAGATTAAAAAATAAACTTGTTAAGCTTAAAAACGTAGAAAATACAATTAGTTTAATAACTTGAAAATAAAAATAAACCTAAGTACTTAAGGAATAAAAATGCTCTAAGAAATTAATTAAACTTGTTAGGTTTGAAAATACAAAAAATACAAATAACAACTTTAAATAATAAACTTGAATTCACAATCTTAAAAACACATAAAAAATAAACTTGAAAATAAACTTGTAAACTTAAAAACATCAAATAAACTTTTCAAGTTTGAAAATACAAAATACAATTAATTTAATAAACTTGAAAATAATAAAAAATAAACTTGTTAAGCTTAAAAACTTGGAAAATACAAATATGAACTTAAGATTATAAACTTAAATTCACAGACTAAACTTGTTAAACTTGAAGGTTTAATAAACTTGAAAATAAAAAATAAACTTAAGTACTCAAAGAATAAAATGCTCTATTAATTATCCAACTTTTTAAGATTAAAGAAACAGAAAAAGTTGCCATTTCCAATGGATGCATTGAATTAAACGAAGTTTTAGTTATTCAAAATTTGAGTGAAAAATCTTCCAAGATTAACACAAAGTTAAGTCAACCCCTAAAATCAAAAGCAGTTTTTGATGTAATGGGGAAGGAGTTAGCAGAGACAAATGAGTCCCTCAAACCTCTGGGCAATGCTTTGATTTTATATGAAATAAGCAGTGAGGGGGAGGATGGAAGCAAGTCTATTACAAAATATAGTAAACTTAATTAAAAATAAAATTCTTCTAAAATCATAATTTTAGCTATAGAATTAACTGGAGACGGAAAGGGTAAAGTTTATCAAAGAGAGCCAAGTGGAGATCAAAAACAAGCTGAAAGACAAGATAAGAAGCCTACTAAGGTGACTGTTTCTATTACAGATGAAGACTTTGTTAGGCTAGTTAATGGGGATTTGGATGGTACAAAGGTGGGAGAATTAAATAAAGTAAAAGGTGTAGCTTACGTTAAGTCTGAACTTGAATTCAACTTTTTTAGTTCGAACTTGAATTTGAAAACTTAACTTAAGCGTTTAATAATAAACTTGAAAATAATAAACTTATTATTTATAAGTTAAGTCTGAACTTAAAAAATAATAAAAAATAAGAAAAATAATAAACTTAAGTTCGAACTTATAATTGTAAAATAAACTTGAAATAAAATTTAAGAAATGCAAACTTGAAAAAAAAAGTTTTAATAAAAATAAACTTGAAATAAAACTTGAGCTTTAAAATTACAATTGAAAAAATAGAAACGTTTGTAAACTTAAAAAGTTGAAAATTAGAAGTAACTTGAATTCAAGTTTTGTAGTACGAACTTGAATTAAAAAACTTAACTTAAGCGTTTAAGAGTAAACATAGAAATAATAAACTTAGTATCTTTAAGTATGAACTTAAATTAAAATAAACTTGAAAATAAAATAAACTTGCTAAAAATAAACTTAAAAACTTAAGCATTTAAGAATAGGCGTGAAAATAATAAACTTAGTATGTGTAAGTTAAGTTTGAAATTAAATTTAAATAAACTTAAAAATAAACTTTTAAATTTGTGTAAAGTTTAATTTAACACAAGTTTGTAAATTTATTTGTAATTTATTCAAAAATTGTGAATGTAAAGGTTGAGACCGAGGAAAAAGACAAAACTGAAACACTTGTGCAAATGCTAGGGCGCCTGCTTGGCTTTAAAACTCTGTTTGGAGGAGAATGAAAAGAAAACTAGAAGAATCGACGCAAAAATATTTTTGAATTTTTTTAGAAAAAATTTATATTTTAGAAGAGTGATAGATATAACTTTAAATAAAACATTATTTTTTAGATATTAAAAATTAAAAATATACTTAAAAATATTGTAAACTTGAGATTACAAACTCAAAATATAAACAAATTTAAATAAATTTGAAGAATAATAAACTTAAGTGCGAACTTAAATTGTACTAAAATTGAAACCAGAAATAAAAATAAAAAAACTTGCAAACTTAAAAAAAAAGTTTTAATAAAAATAAACTTGAAATAAAACTTGAGCTTTAAAATTACAATTGAAAAAATAGAAACGTTTGTAAACTTGAAAAGTTGAAAATTAGAAGTAAAATACATAATATACTACTTACAAATTAAACTTAAAAACATAAAATTACAAACTTAAATTACAAAATAACTAGTTTTAGCTAAATTGAAAAATATAGATATCAAAAAGCAAGGCAATTCGAGATAGAAAAATTAATTGTAATTGTAGTTTTTTAATAGAATTTTAACATACACAATTTTTAAATTACAATTTTTAATTTTAAAATATGTATTTTAAGGCTTTCCTGACCGGTCGACTTAAAATCAAAGGAAGGCTGACTTTACTTCTAAAACTTCAAAAAATAATGATCTCTACTCGTAAAAAGATGAAGAGTAAATTGTGATATTTAGAAAAAAATCAACTTGAAAGTCTAATTACATATTTATTTTTTATTTATTCCTTTTAAAGACGTTAGATTGATAAATAAACTTGAAATAAAATCGCCTTTGTAATTTTATTAAAAATAAAACTTGAAAATATATTAAACTTGAGTTTACAAAACAACAAACTTGAAAGCAAGTTTTTACAAATAAAAATCGCAAACTTGATATTATTATATTTTCAAGTTTATTTTTACTAAATAAATGTATTTTTAAGCTTTAACTTGCATTTTTAAACTTATGTTTAAAAATAAAACTTGAAAATATATTAAACTTAAGTTTGCGAATTCGCCTTTGTAATTTTATTAAAAATAAAACTTGAAAATATATTAAACTTAAGTTTACAAAATAATAAACTTGAAAGCAAGTTTTTACAATTATTTTGCAAAAATAAACTTGAAAATAAAAATCGCAAACTTAAGTTAATTATATTTTCAAGTTTATTTTACTACGTAATTGTAAAAACTTGTATTTTTAAACTTAAGTTTTAAAATAAACTTGGAAATATAATGAACTTAAGTTTGCGAAATTACAATTCTTGAAATATTAAAATAAGTTATAAAAATTACACTAAATAAAAATGAGGATATTATAAGCAAAAAATTATTTTGAAAATACCAAACCTGAAAAAGTTTACTTGAAACTTGAAAAAATAAACTTAGAAACTTACAAACTTGAAATATTAAAATAAGTTTTAATTAAAGTTGAAATGAAAAAATACTATTTTTAATTGTTTAAATAAAATTTGTGCACATTATAAGCAACAAGTTAGATCACAAACTTGTATTACTTTTAACCCAAAACACTTTAACCTCCCAAAAATCAGATAGGCCAACCATTTCCAGTTTCCTCCTATCTTTTAAACAAAATATAAGGATTTTTAAATTATATTCTCCAATTTTTATTTTTCCCTTTTTTTACCCTTCTCAATGTCGGCGATTTTCCGCGTCAATTATTTTTTGGAAATCACGCCATGCCTAGTATATATTTCCTTATTAATTACTATATACCTATAATAAATAGAAAATTTTTTTAGAAAAAAAAATATCGGCCGGCCGAAGGCCGGCCGCTTCCTGAGAGTATGACATCTTGGGGGGTAGTTTTAATGGGCTTTTCAGGAAAAATACCGCTGGGACCATACGATGAACTTTTGGCACTGAAACGGCCGTGGCGAAGTGGCCAAATCCTGAACCGTCCGTCGGATCGAAAAACGCTTGCTGGGAGGAAACTAAGTTGGACTAAGGCTAATCCAACAAAAAAAAAATTTCGAAAATCCGATGAACCCCCGGGGACTTATGGGTGCGCAAAAATTCACCGATTGACGGTGAAATGTCCAATTGTGTCGGACCAAATTTTTATCTTTGGAACGGATGGGCCGAATTGAATGGGACCAAAGGGGTTATAGGTAATCGACCATGGGGAATTTTTTGTGTTAGGTCGTTTTGGTGCCGCACTCAAGTGTGGCACTGAAACGGCCAAAAATCAAAAAAACACCGAGGCCGAAGGCCGAGGAGTTTGGCGGGCCGAAGGCCCGCCGTAGGCGAGGGCCGAAGGACCGAGACGTTTTGGTGCCGCACTTGAGTGTGGCACTGAAACGGCCAAAAGTCAAAAAACGCCGAAAGGAGAAGTTGGGCGGGCCGAAGGCCCGCCGTTGGCGAGGGCCGGAGGCCCGAGACGTTTTGGTGCCGCACTTGAGTGTGGCACCGAAACGGCCAAAAGTCAAAAAAACGCCGAGAGGAAGAGTTGGGCGGGCCGAAGGCCCGCCGTAGGCGAGGGCCGAAGGCCCGAGCAAGAGTCTAACATTGGCGTTTGGGGGCCGAAGGCCCCCAAACGCCTCGGGACAACCCACAACAGTTGTCGAATGCACCACAGCGATCAAACCCATCGCAAGAGTCTAACATTGGCGTTTGGGGGCCGAAGGCCCCCAAACGCCTCGGGACAAACCACCACAGTTGCCAAATGCACCACAGCGGTCAAACCCAAAGTAAAAGTCAAACATTGGCGTTTGGGGGCCGAAGGCCCCCAAACGCCTCGGGACAACCCACAACAATTGTCGAATGCACCACAGCGGTCAAACCCAAAGCAAGAGTCTAACATTGGCGTTTGGGGGCCGAAGGCCCCCAAACGCCTCGGGACAACCCACCACGTTGCCGAATGCACCACATTGGTTAAACCCAAAGTAAAAGTCAAACATTGGCGTTTAAGGGCCGAAGGCCCCCAAGGCGAGGGCCGAAGGCCCGAGCATTCATTACATCCAAAACGCAGAGCAATAGTCAAAGGTAGGGCACGGCGGGCCAGAGGCCCGCCGTAGGCGAGGGCCGAAGGCCAGAGCATTCATTACATCTAAAAGGCACAGCAACAGTCAAAGACAATGCACGGCGGGCCTGAGGACCGCCGTT